TAACACACAAGGCGGAAGCACACACCAGGCCTCGTAGGCTCAGAGTCACTCATGTGAATGCAGGCGGCCGTCCCCACAAGCCAGTGAGGTCAGTACCATCACAGTCGTTTGGTTGGTCAGGAGGACACTGACACACAGAGGTGTGTCACTCACAAAGTCACACAGCCAGACAGAGGCCTCCAGGAGGGGTCTAGCCTTGAGTCAGAAAGTTACCTGTGTGGTCCCTAGGGGATCAGAAAGGTCAGGCAGCTGCCAGCCGGAAAGCAATGTCACATCTCATGCATTTGAGCAGGTCACTGGTCACCATGCAAGGCCACATCCCTACAGTAGCCCGCCTACTGGACACACCAACAGGAGGCCAGGATCTTATCTATTGGAAGGCCATTAAAAAGGAGTCTGTGGGGTCGGGGGCTCAGTGGTAGAGTGCTTGCCCACCACTCTGGGGCCCTGGGTTCCATCCCCAGCACCACAGAACAGTTGTTGGTGCTGAGGGGGCTCACAGCTCTCACCAGTAGTTGCCCTTGCCCTCAAAGATGCCCTGATCTGGAGGGTCAGTGACTGTTGTCCATTTCAAGGAAGAAATTCCATGGCCAAGAGACATCCAGGATGCCACCTGGGGTTCAGTGGACACAGCCACCTATTACACTGGTTCCCATATGGGGCCAGTGGAAGCCACTTCTCAGACACCAAGTTCCTCTTGCAAAACAAAGGCTGAAGAGAGGGGAGGGCTTTGGAAGCGTTTTAAGAGTCACTTTTGAGAAATCCTTTGGCCACCCACAACTCTCTTGACCTGCAAAGTCTGCAGGGAGCTGATCTGTATTCACGAAGCTCTGCCCCTGTGGAGGAGGAGGAGCACAGCCTCTCCTGCCTCGCAGGCCGTCTTCACCGAGCAACCCCACCGTGATGCACCCCAAGAGACACATCCAGGCTGCCTGCATCTCCGGAAGAGAATCTTCCTCTGCCACGGTGCACCGGCAGCCTGGCCTCCGGGTCCCGAGTGCCGCTCAGCCACACACCCGCGGAGAGTCCTTCCACACACCACGCCTGCCTGCCCGGCTCACTTCGCCCAGGTGAAAGCGGTTTCAGATGCTTCTCCCTTGTGCTCATTGCCTTCTGCCCAGAGGTGGGCTGCAGGGCTGGAGAGGGAGAGCCATGGCCAGGGAGAGACAGGGAGAGGCAAGGGGGAAGGTTGTCGGACTGGTCCTTCCAGCTCTGGGTCCCTTCCTTCCTTCCTCTCTGCCTCCCTCGCCCGCAGTGCAGAAAGCTCGGCAGATTCTGCTCCCCGGCTGGCTTCTCCTCCTCAGCAATCTGCTTCCCACCAAAAAAAAAAAAAAAAAGTGTTCTAAATAGAGCGGAACTGAGAATGGGACCGCAGCCCGGATGAAGTCGTCCCCTCCCAGGGGAGCCCGGCGTCCCGCATGGAGGCTGGTCCACCCCCAGCGCCTCTTACTCAAAGCATTCTTGACCCAGGAGCACCCGACCCTGACGGAGGCACAGAGCTGCCACAAATGGGTTTTGCCTCTGCAGCAGTTGCCCGGGCCGGCTCTCTCCCCCCACCCCAGAACCAGGGCCTGCTCAGCCTCATCTGCCGCCCCTTCCCTGGGAGGCGACGAGGAGACCCTACTCTCCCAGGCAGCCAGAGCCCTGCTACAGTCAAACCACTCCAGTCGCCTGTGGAGAGAGAGGCTGGGTGGCCCAACTAACCCACCTGAGCCCAGCCTGCCCGAGGCGGAGGTCGGAGCACAAGGCCCGCAGCCTCTCTCTTGCCACGATGGGTGGATGGCAGAACAATTGTTTCTATTGAGTTCGAGTGTCCTGTTGCTCTCTAGGGGTCCTGAGCACCGCATTGGGGGTGTGTTCTCAGCGATTCCTCTTTGTTTCTAGAAGAGTCTATCCAAAGCTCATCCCCACAGCAGAGCCCACAGCACCCGTTAGGATCCAGGCACAGCTCACACATTCTGGGCACGTCACTCATGAACATGCGTAGGCCTCACCCAGTGCCAAACGGCCTTGGGTACTGGGACTCTCACACCTTCTGCAGTGAGAATCTTTTCCTTCAGCCCTCGGAAGACAGGGATCCTAAGGTGGGAGCCAACTCAAAACCCAGGTGCCAACCTGGGGCAGGTGACACTGGGACAGCTGTGGCCTGTCTGGGAGGAGGGGGAGGGGGAGAAATCTGGCAGGCCAGAGGCAGGCAGGAGAGCTGATGGGGAAGTGGGGGTGGGCTAGCCCAGCCGGCCCTCCACTCCACCCCAGCCACTCCCCAGTACCTCCACTGAGTAGAATCCTCAGGAATCTCAGGCCAAACCAATTCCATGACTTGCCAATGAGTCAGGGCCACCCTGCTCTCCACTTCACCACCTCTCTGAATTCAGCACCTCCAAGTGTGCCAATTCCTCCCACCAGGCGCAGGCAAGGGATTCAGAAAATGAAATTAACTTTCAATACAAAGTGAGAATTCCCAACACCTATCACGGTCCACGTCAGCGGTGAGGGGTCAGCATGGACTTTCATGTCCCTCCTCCCCGTCCCTAAAGGACAGAAGAAGGCAGAGGGGAGTGAGGCCAGGGAGAGAGGGACAGTGAAAATATGCAAATAGGGGTCCTGGAAAACACAATGCACTTATAAACCAGAATGACGCCTTCCCAGGAGGTTTTGGGTTTTGTTTTGTCCCTCGGGTGGCATGTGGCATGTATTCACGAAGGAGGAAGTAGTCCGTCCCCGCTCCCGTGCCCCTTTCTCTTTCTCTCAAGTCTGGTTCAGAGCAAGAAAAAAATTAAAATGCTGAAACAAGGTCTTTCTTCCCCTCTGGATGAACTGTTTTACAATAAGCTACCTGCTGGGGTCAGGAAACGGAGCCGGTGGCTCTGAGCTCACACAGAAAGCTCACGTGGGGGAGCCACTCCTCAGAACCCACCCACACACGGCCCCTGTACCAGCCCTCCTTCCCTCCCTGGTGCTCACCCAGCCGGTGCTAGGAGCTTTCCTGAGGCCCGCCATGCTGAAGGCCCTGGAGGGCCAGGGTGGCTGGAGCGGAGGGCGGGAAGCCTGTTCCCAAGGCGCCCATAGGAAACTTGTTCTCTTTACAGTGAGGTGTGTGATGCTCCAGGGGCCCAGGAATGATCAAAATCAAAACAAATAAGCAACGGAAACAGGAGCCCCTCCCTGGGAATGGCAACTGCACAGAATGAAAGTTTATCCAAACACACGGGGGAGAGGGCTGGTGTTGGAGGACAGGGCAGCCAGCGCTCCTGCACTGGAAGGAAATTTGTTTATGACATTTGATTTGCTCCTTATTTTTAATGCTCCTCTGGCCCTCTGTCCTCTAAACAGACCAGCTTTTCCATCTTCTCGTGGTGCCAGGACAGCCAAAGACAAGCAGGCTGAGCTGGTGCCAGCCCCCAGGCCACTGAGGTCTCACATTCCCAGGAGTCCACGCCCAGGGCCATGGGGTCCGAGCAGGGGATGCCTTGGTTTCTGCTGGAACTGGGGAGGAGGCCGAGACTTGGAACTTGGATGTGGAATTGGGGAGATGGCTGTCTGGCTTGTGGGCTTCCCCGAAGCCTTGGCAGTTGGCTTCCTCTCTGCCTCAGGAGGAAGGGCTTCCGGTACCCAGTGTGTGTGTCCAGGGGCGTACCGATTCAGCAGGGTCTTCTCAGTTGGTAAATAACACGAAAGATTCTGGAGAGCACTTGGCTTTGGAAGGAAAAAAATTGACAACTTTAGAGTCAGGTGAGACAAGATGGTCAGGTGAGTGACTAGGAGTGTCCAGGAGACCCTGAGGCACTCTGGAGTATCTGGGCATAGCTCAGCTCCCCCTCCGTCCCCAACAGAACCTGCACAGCCAGAGCAGAGGCCACCACAGTCCTGATCACACAGCAGAGGGGCCTGCCTGGAGTCTCCTCTGCCCTGCCCGGATGCAGAGGTTGCCTGAGCTAAAGTGATGGCAGATGGCCCCATATGTTCTAAGTAGAGACTGAACATCTCTAATCAGAAAACCCCAGGTCCCAAAGGCTCCAAATACAAATCTTTGCAACTGCCCTTGGAGACCCATTAATGAAAAGGACACTGAGGCACAGAGAGGGTAAGTTACTCACTTGAGACTGCACTGCTGAAAGTCTTCAAGAGGATCAGGCCAATGCCCTCTGGGACTGGATCTGTCAGCCCACCCTCTACCCTTGAGTATCACTAAACCTTCTCAGGAGTCCTAAAATCTCCAACATTCACAGTAGAAAAGCTCTAAACCTACACAGAGGTCTGCAACGACAGGGCATTCAAGCGGCCAGAACTTGCGATTCTCAATGGCCATGGTGATGAAGGGGACCCAGCTGTCACGGCAGGTGGCAGGGGCATAGCCTCTCCCTCCCAAGGCTGCTTGTTCTGCAGACATTACTGACGCTCATTGACATTTGTGTTCTCCCTGCTTTCTTTGATAGAGTGGGACATTTCCCAATTCTTTGCATCCAAGGGGACCTTTGTGACAATCCCTGCCAGTGGAATGTGAGCAGAAGTGATGGGTGTTCCTTCAAGGCCATGGCAGTTGTACATGAGCATGTCCTCTGGTGGTGTCCTCTGTTCATTGGTGGAAGAAGTGGCACCTGAAAGCAGTGGGATTCTGAGACACAAGGAACCCCAAATTTCTGCATGAAAGAGAGTGCCCTTGTCCCCACCACTGCCAGCTCCTATTCAACTACAGTGCCAATGAGAAAAACTCTGGTGAAAAAGGAGATTCGGAGTGTTTTGTTACAGCAGCCTGCTGGGACTGATACATTGTGGTAACGGCCATAACACTGCCCCTGTAGGGTCTGCTCCATGGCAAGTCATTCAATCTCCCTCACTTTCAGTTTTCCTCATCAATAAAAGAAAGGTCTCAAAACCTTCTCAAAAAGTCATCAAGAGATTCAAAGAGCTTTAAAATTGCAGATCCCCATGAAACCACTGACTTACTTCCTGGATGGCCTCATTTCTCTCAGCAGAATATTCTACCTTTTTTTTTTTCCTTTTCTGAAACAACTGCTGGTGGCCACGGTCCACAGATGGCCTCCTCCTTGTCCCAGCTCTCACTGTTCATGTTTATAAAAGGCCAGGAGTGGGAGAGCTTGCTGTGCTTCTCTCCCCAGGATGCTATGGAGCTCTGGCCACTCCCGGCTCCTCTGTTGTAGCCTTCTCTCTGCAGGGAGTGACCAGGTGGCAGGGGCACAGCCTCCCCCTCCCTGGGCTGCTTGTTCTGGAGCGGAGCCTCGTGTCTTTGCCTTTGGTCCCTACATGGTGAGCCCTGGAGCCTGGTGAGCCCCTGTGCCTATGGATCCGCCCACTGATGTCCAACTTCTCCTCCTGCAACCTGATGCAAAGTTCACACGAGGGTGAATCTCAGGGGGCCTGATCCACCCAGAGGATCTAGCAATAGTTCCTTTGCCAATGTGATCCACGGCTTCACGTGTGCTGGTCTTCTCTGGTCTCATAAATAAGATTCTGAGAGCAGAGACTACCTCAGATGTGTGTGTGTGCTCTATATTTCTTCCTGGTAGATGAGATAAAACTCTCTAGAAATCCTGAGCTCAACTTGAATTCATATTTCTCTTTCCAACCTTAAACATGAACCTAGCCTGCAGTTAACTGGGAGAGGGGAAAAAAAAATCCAGACACTTTCTATTTCCTTCAGGGAAAGCAACCAATCAAAGGCACCGATTTTCACTGCTGTTCAGATAACACTTTATTGATTAGTCCTGGGCAAACAAAAACCAGGCAAATTTGGAGGTGCACACAGCAACCGACTGTCAACAGGAAAAGTCGATTCAACATCTTTCTTGTACATGTGTCATTGAAAGCCATCACACTGCAAATTTACCAGCTCTGAACTTGAGACCTTGACAACCCTGGGTCTGAATTCCGACATTCACATGGAAGATTTGGTGGAGGCAACGGATGGTTCCTTGAAGTCTCCGTCTTCTGAGGATTAAGTGAGGGACGGCATGAGATGACCACAGAGTGCCTGCCCTGGGACCTGAACATTATTGGGCATTTCAGGGGTAAACTCCATAAGTAAGGAATGACCCAGTTCTTAAAAGAGAAAGAGCGAGCATGCTGGGGGTGAAGGGGACACCCAAAACAAGTTCCAAATAAGCACCATGAGATACTAAAGTTCCGTGGTCAAGGAAGAAAAATGCCAACATTTGGATCCGGAATGTTCCCTAAAATCCTGTGTGTTGAAAGCTTGGTTTCCAACCCAGTGCCGGTGGGAGGTGGTGGAAATGTTAAGAGGTGGGTGGGGCCTAGTTGGAGATCATCAGGCCATTGGGGGTGTGCCCCAGGAAGGGGTCTGTGGTCCCGGGTTCTCTTTCACTTTCCAGCCATGAGGTGGGTGGTTCTGCTCTGCCTCATACTCCCGCCCCCACCAGAGGCCTAAGCCATGGCTCTGCCAGATCATGGGCTGCAATCTCCAGAACCGAGAGCCAAAATAAACCTTTTCTCTTTCTTTGTAAGTTGGTTATCTCAGGCATTTGTTATGGTGATGGAAAGCTGACTCACACACAGAGTTCAATAAAAACTCATTACCGGAATGCGAGAGGAACTTTCTTAATGAAGCAATTCCAGAACATTCCTAACAACTCCTGGCCACATGACTAATAGGTATAAAATGGCAGCGTCCTGAGCCAGGGGTGGACTTGGCAGAGGGCCCTGAGGGTCTGTCATGGAGCAGCGTGCCCTGCTGTCCTGTACCCCATGTGAGTCCTGAGCACCCCAGCACCGAAGCGGTTTAGAATGCAGGGGTTTGCACTGCGGGGGAGGAAGCAAAGTGTAAAGAGATTGCACCCAGCTCCACTGCAGCTCGTGCTTGGAAACTGGACAGCCTGTGCAGCCCCTCTGGTCCGATATGGACTCTCCATGGAGAGTGAGTCACCGGGTCGGGTCGGCCCCTCCTTGAGTAGTTCATCTTTCAGCAAGTGAGGCTAAAACCATCTGTCCTGGTGGGTAGGCCCTGTCACCCAGGATGGAGCGATCACAACTCAGAAACAGCTGTGACCTGTTGTTTTCTGATGCTTGTAACTCTGCTCATTCTCAGCTTAAAGAGGACGACTTTGCCTGCCAGCCTGGGACCCGATGTTGAGGATGGTGGTTCCAGCAAGGACCACCCGTGGGCTCATTCCCAAGCTGCCACATCACCAGCACCAGTAGTTCCAGGCCAGCTGGAGCCCCGGGGAGCAGCAGTTTTATGAGCAGAACATGGCTTCTGCCCCCTCCAAGCCCCAAACCCGAGTTAGCAGAAAAAGGGGGATGTCAGGGGGAAGGGGCAGGTGAAGGAGGAAGAGGAGAAGGAGACGGAACACAATTACACACACACACACACACACACCTTCAACAGAACTTGATAACCCCGAGTACCCAGTGATCGGCGCCTGACGGCATACAAAAGCCAAAAGGCAGGTCCCAGGACGGGTCAGCCTACGACTTCATATTTGCCTTTCCCTAAGCAAACTAATAAATCCCCTACAGTTTTAGCCACGCAGAGCTCCCAGTTCTTATTTATTGGTCAAAACAGCAGGCAGGTTTTTTCCTCGCCTCCCTGTCCCCCGGGGGGTAAATAGTCTCCCTTCCACCCGTCCTGTCATCGGCTGTGTGTCTGTTTGCCTTCTCCCTCGACAAACTTGTGCTCAGTGCGACTGACAGCATGTGCAAACAGCTTTGAAGTATTCTTTGGTGATGGACTTCCTTGGGACAGCTCTGGTTTTGACTTGTGGCAGCCCCAAGGCCAAGGGACGACGTGCCACTTGTCAGGGAATGGTCAGACCCCTGCTGGGTCAGGCAGGGACGGGAATGTGACCCAGGAAGGAACTGTAGCAAGGACTGTCAAGACCAGCCCAGAGAAAGGGCCTGCATACTGGCATGTGACCTTGCAGCTAGCCAAAGCCGAGGGCATTGAACATAGCAGTGAGGTAGAGGTCAGGGCTCCCAGGGAATCCCAGGACCACATGCCCAACACCCTCCTTTACATGGAAGGAACTAAGATGAGGGACTCTGAGATAGAACTCGGGTTCCCCCGTCTCCTGGGCCAGTGCTTTTCACCAGCATAAGATATACTGCCTGGATCCAGAAATGAGAGATGGAGAGATGTGGGTGAAGAGGGCAAAAATGCATTTAGCTTCGATCTCGGTAAGAAATTGATATCCGTGGCCTCTTGGCAGGCAGGCCATGAATTGCTCTTCAAACTTCTCTTGCTTCCCCATCAAGTAGGAGAATAATATTCAACCTTCCCTCACATCTCCCACTCTGCCAAAAAGGTTGCCTCCCCCAGGGCTGGACGAGCCCTCACCAGATGTTTGAAAGGGGATTCCTGCATGAGTCAGAGGTAGATCCAGAGAAGAGCGAGGCTGGAGACCATGTTGGCCCCCTGGGATTCTATGTGGATGAGAAGATAAGAAGAGCGGGTGTGTGTGTATGGGGTCGGGGGAGTTGTTGCCTTTGGCCCAACAGCACGATGATTCTGGAACCAAAGAACGAATGCAGGACACACATGAAGGGAACAGCTGAAATGTTCATTTTTTAAAAAGAAAAATGGCACCCAAGCAGCTGGGCCAGCATGCCTCCCCCATCTGTGAAGATGGGTCAGCTCAGAGGAAACTCGGGGAATCTCAGGAGTGATGAGAACAGGCTCTGGAGTCTGCACCCTCACCTCTGTCCTCCCTGTGGCCACAGGGTGCAAGATGGGCTGAGGGCCCATGTTCCAACATGGCGGATGCTCATGCCTGTCTTTCAGCAGAAAAGATGGAAGGCGAATCCCTCGACAAGCAGCAACAACTTCAGGGTGTCATGCAAGTCTGAAAACCTGGCTTTTCTAACCTGCAGAAGAACCTATAATTTGCCTCTGACTGTTCTTACTTGTCATGAACACCAAAAAACTTGGGCAGGCCCAACTCTGCCCTCCTGCGCTCCCCCACCACCACCTCCAAGTTCCGCTCCCTTATCCCAGATAAAGTCAGTGTCTGCATAGGGAAGCGTGAGCTGGGAGGTCCCCCTCAGCACTGAGTGGAACGCAAAGGTTATCCAGGAGACTTCAGAAAGAAAGTACACACTCAGCTCCAATTTACATGCCCTTGACGTTTTAAATAATTCTAGAGTTCAAAGGAATTTCAGGAAGTCAACTCATCGCCAACTCTTTTGCTCTCCAGACAAAACCATCCCAAAGGTTTTAGTTCTTTGTTTCTGTCTAGCAAAGATGTAGAATTTTTATCCTGCGTAGCACATGAACACGCACGTCACCATTTTCCACTGTTCCCAAAGGCTATGTTTTATATTTATATATATTTTTTGTTTCTTAATGAACTGTTTTGTTTTTAATGGGAAAGATTAGTTCTACCTGTGTAAGTATGATTGCATTAGAGAGAAATCCCTGGGACCCTGAATCCCCGCCATGCACACTGTCCATCTGGCTCCTCCTACTCAGGATTTTATTCAATACCGTGCAACCCTTCCATTCTGGAGAGAACTAACTGCGTCAGGAATGGTGCCTGACCTAATGGCATCTATCTATCTATAGACTGTAGTGGCCAATAAAGTGACCAGATACAGAGCACTGAATGGTATCTGGCCAAGCCTATCAGAAGCATCCATCAATTACAGTAGAAAAAGTAGCAGAGGCAAGGTCACTGGGTCACCTAGCTGGGCCACCAAAATTTGCCCAGGAATGTCCCAGGTTTATCCCTGAAAGTCCTTTGTTATGAGAAACCCCTTAGGCTTATGCCAACCAGGACAGTAGGTCCCCTCTGTTCATCGCCACTGCAGAATTCCCGAGTCAGGAGCAGGGAATCAGAATAAAGGATCAAGACGACCAGATGCGACTCTTGCTGTCCCTGGAAACAGGCCATAGCTACTGGGTGTGCTCAGTGACTTTGGGATTCTTGACAAGGCCTAGCTGGGTAGCTGCTGGAATTGTCCCTCCTCTGCCTCGCTTTCCCCCGAGACTTTAAAATACACCTCGTTCACGGAGGTGATACAAGAGGACCTCTGTTTCTGAAACCTGAACAAATCTGAGCAGTATGCTGGCTGCCCCCAAGTGCCAGGGAAGGAAGGGGACTCCCATACACCCTCTTGCAATTTCAGTAGCACTGAACATCTTTCGGTGGCTCTCCTCCATCATTTTGTGGTGACTTGGAGATGCCAACAATGACCCCAAGTCCTAACCCGCCATAACGCACCACCCACCACACAGGGAAACTTCAATTGTTTTTCATGAAAACAAACTGTCTGTTCACTTTGGAAACGAGAAAGTACACACATCTTTGACTGCATGTTGGATGAGGTTGACTGTGATGGATACTTAGTGTTTTCAACCATGATCATGGTGGCTGCAGAGTAAAAGGGACAGAGAAGTCTCAAGTCACTATCAGGGAGTGTCACCAGAAGACCCTGGGAGAGGAAGGTCCTTGATAAACACTACCAACCCCAGTAGCCAGCTGGTAGGTTGTGAAGCACCAAGATCCTGCCTGGACCCCAGCTGCCACCTGAGAGAAGAGGGTCCTCACAGCTGCCTGGACCTGTCAGAAGATGGAATGAACCGATCATTTTTGTCCTTCTGGAAGCCCACCTGGAGAGCTGGACGTGGAGACTACCAGCCCTCACCATCCAACTTGCCCGCCTGAGCCTTCTCCAATGGCCCCGATGACCGAGCGCCTGAAGAAGCTGCCCACTGACTCTCGGTCACTCTGGAACCTGGTGCGAAGGGATAGGTCCAAATACCATTCCTGAGCTGCTCACAGAGTACAAATGGCGGCCTCTTTAGAAGGAGCAGGAACAACACCCAAGATCCCATCTGACTCAAGTGTAGTTAACTATTGACTCTGCATCTGGCCGGCAAGCAAGAAGACTCGCTGGGTCCAAAGGCACGATGGGTGGGGGAGGTGGGGGCAGGCAGGGAAGGGAGTAGGGCCAAGCCTGGGAGCTGGGCTGGGGCCAGGAAGAGTGTCAGGGGCAGGAAGCAGCAGAGGCCACGTTTTCCACAGGAGGAAGGTCCAAGTTCAAGAGACGGAGTCGTCTCCGGCTGCAGGTGGCCCAGCCATGCCCCTCCCTGCTCGCTCAGGTGCACGTGTGGCTGCTCCTTAGGGTGGGTCTTTGGTGTCCACCCACATGTCTCCACGAGTCCAGAAGTTTTTTTATTCTCCAATATAAGAATTCTTAATCAAATCCCAGGCTCTTGACTCTCAAGAGGTGATCCGACCTCAGCCAAGTCCTTCAAGGAGTGCTGGGGGCCTTCGCTGGTTCTGGGAGGCTTTGCGGAGGGTGGTGTGGGCCAGGAAGCCAGCACTTGGTCATCCTCCCGAGGCCTATGAACCGAAACAGCAGAAGAGTTAGACGTGGGCTCCACGTCCTGACTTCAGTCCATAATATTCAAGTTAACACTGTAACTGAGCAGAATATCAAGAACACAGTGATTCAGTTAAGAACGGAGACCTATTTATACCTCCTAGGAACCCCCTGTCCAGACCCACCTCTATGCCCAGCACCGACTTTAAAGAATATTGTAGAACTCCGTTGGCCAGGAGAGGCAGGAAGTTCACTTTTGCAGCTGGTCACCATGATACCTGTGTAATACGGGGCCAGGAGCATGGAGGTGTTAGAGCACCCGCTTCACAGGGAGGAGAGCTGAGGCCCAGCGAGTGCCAGGATCCTCAGGGTAAGGGACTGGACTCTGTCCTTATAACTAACAGCCACTCTGGTGGAAACCTCTCTCTTCTGTCAAAACTCTCTTGGTCACTAATCAGGACCACTCCCAGAGTGGACGGTGGCCTCGTGGAAAGAGGAGACCATTAAATACATTTCTCTCCCCTAACGCTGACAGCAAAGAAATTAAGATGGACGGGGACTCCCCCATCTCTTCCTCACACCTTCCAATCCCCCATTGCCGAGTAGCAAATATATTTAGCACCACTAAATGCCCTCAGAGGTCTTGGCAATTCTAAGTTGATGAGACTCAGCAATTGGAGTAAGTGGCCTCTCCACACATGCAGACAACCTGAGTCTCCTGGAGGAGGCTGGTCTCGGGGTCTCCGATTCCAGCAGTCACCATCAACCACAAAGAACCACTTAGATGACTACCTACCAACCTGGGCATGCATTGGTACCTTCCCGGTTAGATGCCGTGGCTGCAGAAGTGAGTCAGGCAGGCAAACCTTTCTGCCCTCCTAGGCACATCAGGGAGGCGCCTTTGGCAAGCAGGAAGCCAGGACAGTGAAATCTGGAGGGGAACAGCCTAGAGATTCTGGAGGCGCTCTTGAAACCCAGACCGCGAGCCAGGCGGCTCCGCCTGGTGCAAAGGGCTGTCCTTCCTGCACCCAGGTGGCTGAACCCAGGCAGGGATGGAGCAGCTCCATGAGTCCCAGAGAGAAGGGTGCTAATTGCCAGGGAGGAGAGGTGTCACAGGGAGGCCCCAGGGCTCTGAGCAGGGAGAAGATGCTTCAAGACATTTCTCTGCAGGGGAACTGGGAAAGGAGACAGAGTCTGCATTTCAGAGTCACCTACAAATAAAAAAACCCCAAAAGGCAGCCAATGTGCAGACACAGAGGCGCGCTGCGGCTCTCTGAAGGGTGGCCAAGAAGGAAGCTGGGTGTCTTCACCCCTGGTGGTGCCCAGGCCCTGTGGACACTCCCTTCCAGCTGGACCTGAAAACACCCCAAACAAACCCAGAGGTCTCTAACTTTCCTCTGGTTTCCTTTCCCCTCCTGGGCAACAGCCCTCTGAGCTGTCTCCGAGAAAGCCACGGCGGGCACGAAGCCTTCTCCCCAGGGAGATGCCTGCAGCTAGCAAATTAATTGGCAGCGGCCGGGACTTCCTTCTTGTTGCCTGGCAACCACATGCTCTTGGCAGGAGGACTTAAACACAGAGGAGAATGTTGTGAGGTATTTGCAAAATAAAATAAAAAGTAAAAATGCAACACCCCAGACTCATACCCCCGCATGGCAGACCCACTCAAGGGGAAGGGGGCGGAGGCGGGAGTGAGGGAATGGACCCAGAGAAGGAAAATGAGGTCCCGACAGGAGCAGAGCCTCCCAGGCCCCCCTCAAACTCTTCCTGGCATAGCGTCCGTTTGGCTAAAGACACGCCTCCATCCACCTGGAGAAAGGCACGTGAGTCAGAAGGCACCTCGAGATCTCAGATGATGACTGCTGTTCATGTCTCCCCATCATCCGTCACTCCACAGGGGCGTCATCCTGGCCAAGGTGACACAGCTGTAGGGCAGCACCCACTCCCACCCGACCCAATCCCTGGCACTTGGCCATTTTCACGCCTGTTGCCACGGCCACTGGGAGATGATCGGATGAGCCCTCCGAGGCATGGCCTTGCCCTTCAGCCTGACCTTGGCCTCCACCAAGACTCCCAGGTGTACGTGGAACACTGGCACAGCCTAGGACCCGAGCTGCCCACGGGAGAAAAACGGGAACGAGGAGAGAAAGAAGCGCAGCAGGAGGGCCCTGCAGGAGGAGGAACAGCAGCTCCCCAAGCACACCCTCGTCCCGATCCCTGCCACCTGCCAATGGCACCCCAGGTCCAGAGGGGTGTGTGATGAAGCTGAGGGTGCTGGGTCATCCAGGTGGGCCCGACATGTCATCATCGGGGTCCTGATGAGAGAAGCAGAGGAGGGGGATGCTGTAGGACAGACACAGAGGTGGGGAGGGTTCAGGAGGTGGTCATGAGGCCAGGAGAGCAGGTGGCCCCGGAAGCCAGGAAAGGACAGACTTCCCCGGAGCTTCACGAGAACCCAGTCCTATAGACTCTGTAGCTCCCCGAGATTGCTCTCAGGGCACGCTGGGCCCCTCATGGTTTTTGTGTGGTTTTTTTTGTTTGTTTGTTTTTGGTTTTTTTAATGGTGCTGAGGATTGAACATAGGATCTTACACGTCATGTGCTTTACCACTGAGCCCCACTCCCGGCTACTATATTATCATCAAAAATATTATCACAATCTAGAAGTTAACAGTCAAACAGAGCTGATCAGAAGGGGCAGGGTCCAGAATTTGGCATAAATAGGTCTAACCCACCCTGGAGGCCCAGAAGAAAGAGGCGGCCTCCCAAAGCAACTGAGGCAAGGGGCAGCCCCCCGCTTTGAAGTGGGCTGTTAAGTTACACCATCTGCTGCCTGCAACGTGGACAGGTGGCTTAATCTCTGAGAGCCTTAGTTTCATCATTGCAAAATAGAGATAAAATTATTATCTATCTTGCAAAGCTCTCAGGATTAAAAGAGATAATATATCAAAAGTACCTAGCGTACTTTTGATGATGCCAAATAAGTGATAACTCTTGAAAGATTAGGCATGCAGACATGGGCAGAAGCTGTGGGTTGCCTGACCCAGTGTCTACTCTACCCTGTCTACTCAGAATAGAACTCCTGATTTTTGGCTGGCAAAAAGACTACATTTCCCAGCCTCCCATGTGGCTAGACAAGGTCAGGTAAATAACTAAGATCCGATCAATGAGATATAAGCAGAACTATGGGCGTTAATTCTGGGGAGGCTGCTTAAAGGTGCTAGAAGGATTTTTACCTTCTGCTTTCCATGAAGGACAGGATGGATGGTGCTCCAGCAGCCATTTTGGCTTACAAGGACACTGAAAATGGGAGTCATTACACTAAGATGAACCAACAAGAAGATGGGGTCCTGGATCCCTGATCCCTCCAGGGATGCTCTGCCTGTTTCTGGATTTTCTGTTATGTAAGAGAGAGAGGCGCTTCTGTTTTAGGCAAGTCCTTGTTGTTGTAGACTTTTCCAGGAATTATAATGGATTCAGATTTTAGATCTAGGCAAGCAGGATTTGGAGACATTCTAGAGCAAAGGTTTTCAAAGGATAACCCTGGACCAAGGGCTTCCACCTCATAAGAGCCCCTGTTAGAAATGAGAACTCCCGGGCTCTGTCCCAGACTTACTGAATCAAACACTTGCTGGGGCCCTCTGGTCTGTGTTAGTAAGCTCCAGGTGATTCTGATGCACATTCAAGGGTGAAAACCACTGTTCCCAAGCGAGACTTCTCAATGAGGCACATATGGAGCAGAATAACCATCCACGGTGGGGGGAGGTTGTCCTGGGTGTGGTAGGATGTTCAGCAGCATTCCTGGACTCTACCCACTAGCACCCCCTGTCCCAGTGGTGACCACCAAAAATGTCTCTGACATGGCCACGTGTCCACGGTGGGGGGAGAGGGCAGCAGAGTTGCTCCCAGTTGAGAAACACTGCCCCCAAGTCTCTTCCTCCATGGGAGCTGCAGGTCAGAATTTATTCGGGCCTCGCCCCTGCCCAGGTAAGTCAGAATCAGGGAGGGCGGGACCCAGGAGCAGCTGCAGCTCCCTGGGTGAGGCCTGGGTTGGCCAATGTCGAGAACCACAGCAGAAAAGGGCCAGGCCCTAAGACAAACTGCTCCAAGCTGCAGGAAGGTTTTGTATCCCAATGGCGCAGGACCCAGGATGCCCCTAAGCAGAGACTTACACGAGAACAGCGAGCGGAGCAGAGTCGGGAACCGGCATCCTAGCGGGCAGATGGGTGGAATTCTTGGCAGCTGTGTCACTTGGTTTCCCATAAGAACAGGGTGGACACCTTTCAGTCCCTCACATGAATAACCACACAAAGCCCCAGTTCCTCCCCTCATAAACAGGGCACACCGGGAGCCGGCTCCCACGGGTGCAGTAAACATGAGCTCACCAGCAAGGGCTGACTTCATCGAGACCAGGACCCGGCCGTGCTAGGGCCCGTCTGGAGGTGGGGGGAACAGATGCCCTTCCCGGTGGGTCGACCCTGTGGGCACCCAAACCAGGGTGAGAGCAAGCCGAGACTTCACAGATCCCTAACTTGCTAAAGTTGCTCGGCCACAGGTTCATAACTGAGATGGAAGGAGAAGGAGGAAAAATTAAACGGGAAACCAGCCACCACCAGAGAGGGAAGGTTGGGTCAGTGGATGCTCTGACCCCTTAAGGAGAAGGCCAAGCCTGCATCTCTTCTTTTCCTGCAGGGACTGTCTCTCGCCTTCATTATTTCCTCCCCAGCCTGCCCTGCTGACATGCCAAGCCTGGCCTGGCCTGGCCTTGTGTCTCTGGGTCCACATCATTAAATCCACGATGTCAACAAGGGGAGGTGACGAGAGGTGGAGGAGGAAAAGGAGGTGAGAAGAAGTGGAGGAGAGGACATGAAAATTGAGGGGAGGACGCGGAGCTAAGGCCCTGAGGTCTTCAGGCTCTTTAAGGACCGGCGTTAAATGGCGTCCCTGTTCCCTGCTGTCTCGGCCTTGCCTGGCGGGCAGAGCTGGAGAGAAGAGGGAACAAGCACCAGTCGATGAAACCTAAAAGAGCCAGTTCTAGGGCGTCTCTCAGAAGCCACATACAAATGTTAGAATGTCCCTGCATGTCCCATCCTTCCCTGGGGGGTTCTGCTCGGTCCGTCAAATGCAGATGACAGGCACAGGGGAGAAGAATCCCCTGTGCTCCATCCCAGCAGCCCCACAGAGACAGGAACCCAGGTCCCCAGGTCCCCTGCCAGGGCCCTCTGCTGTTTAAGGGACTTTCGGCAGGCCACTGGGTGCAACAACGGAGTCCTAGGAATCGAGGACTTCACTGCTGCCACTGGCTGCTTCCAATGCCCCCAACTCCCCTTCCTCACCCTCACCCCTCCCCATAAAGTCAAATACATCCCCCACTTGACTAAGACCCCTGGGTCCCTCCAGCCTGTAAACCCCGTGTGCAAACGTCCTGACTCTTGCAAATGTGTTAAAAAATAAACCTTAAAAAGCTTCCAGATGTTCTGTTTGTGTTGTGGTGTTTCTGTGCTCTGGTCTCTGGAGGCCAATACATGATGCACATGTATTTTCCTGATGGCCCACAGGAAAACAAGGCAGCCAAGAGTCACAGCCTGGGGCGAGGGGAGGTGACCCCTCCCCAGGACGCGGCAACCCATCCATCCACCCATCCACCCTCCCCCTGCAGTGTGCCTGGATCCTTCTCCCCTCCTCGTATACCCTCGTCCTCCACATCCCATCCCTTCCTCTCTTCTATGTGAGACACACCTCTTTGGGGTTCATGAGCTTTTAGGTTTGTCTTTCCCAAGCACCCACCTCATTTCCCCATTACACTTCTCATACCAGTCATCTTTTGGGACACTGAGTTGGGTTCATAAAGACCCAGGAGTGACCCTCCTACTTAAGATGTTAAAGACCATTTGCAAGGACCGTGGTAGGAGCTGGACCAGCCAGAACAAGGGCACACAGTTCACGACTTGGGCCCCTCTGGGGCTGGTGGCCTCTGATCTACAGGAAGGTAACTCCAACGGGCCGGCTTGTGCACACACCACCTCACACGCACCTTCCCACCACGCACACACCCGGGGGCCCAGGATTCTTTGCCCAGGGTGACGGCGGTTCCCTTTGATGCTCACCGGGTGTGTTCCCATTGGGCCAACACCAGACCTCAATAAACCGGGCATTATCAAGAGGCCGGTGGTTTGCGATTGCACCCGCCTGTTATCTCCGGCCGGGTGGGGCTGCTTTGCGGTTCACCATTGAAAAGCAGAACTTCTAGGCAGATCAAAGACCCTTCCGAACCTGCTGGCCTGATCCCTGTTTGTCCCCTGTGGACTGTTCCTATAGATGGACTTTAAAGATAATGGTACCCCAGCCCCAGACTCCCTGGGTCCTCATCTTATCATGCAAGGTGTCCCTGGGGGGAGGCATTGGCAGCCAATTGCAAGGACTTTCTCACCCTTTCTTTGGATGACCCACGAAACAGCAGCACACGGGGACTGGGCCACGCAGGGGCTCCTTTCCCCGCTGTGAATCACGCCAGGCAGAAGGTTCCAGAGAGGAGGCCACTTATTACCTGCTTTCCTCAGCAAGCATAAACTGCCAGGTGCCTGCACCTGGTCCCCACAGTCCCCTGTTGGACTCTACAGTCTACCTAGATGTGCTAGGGCCAGTGGTCTGTCCGCAGTGAGGACATGGCGTGACCTCTGAGTTGTGTGTATCTGGGCCAATAAGAGGGACGGTCCACTGGCTGGGGAGAGAGAGCACAGGCCCTCTGCCATGGGGACCGGCAGGCCTCGTGCCTCCCGAGGGCTCCTCAGCCCACCCCGTAGGTCTGCCAGTGAGCAGGGGAATCAAGGGGCTATCACCTATGCTGGAGAGGAGAAAGGAGGAGGAGGAGGGGGAGGAGGGAGGGAGGGAGGGAGGGAGGGAGGAAGGAAGGAAGGAAGGAAGGAAGGAAGGAAGGAAGGAAGGAAGGAAGGAAGGAAGGAAGAAAAATAAAAGGAGGAGTAAAAGCCAAGCAAATCGCTAGCCACACAAGCTGGTTATCCTAAAGCTGATTGTCCCCAAAGTATGGTGGGGACACGGGGCAGGGCACCCATTCCTACCCATTCCTACTGCGGGTGGCTTGTCTCCTGGGAGACCACCGAGCTTAGTCACCTGCCATCCCATCAGGGTTCAGGTCCTGAATCACTCTCTTAAAAGCTGCAGGATCCTGGGCAAGTCACCTCTGTTCTCTCTAAATTCATGCACAGAGGCGGGGAGGACGGTAATACCTAGTGACGACTGAGTAGGTAGCACCTGTCCTTATTCCTCTACTTCTAAAACTAAAGCACCATCTCTATTAAAAAGCACAGAAGGAACACGGCCAAGGCCGGAAAGATGGACAGCCCTTCCACGCCGTTTTTCTAGCCTTGACCAAGAGGTCCAGATATCTTCCATTGCTTTTCCTTTTTAACTTTTTTAATTGATAAAATCATTCTCAGCCCCTGAATCAACCCTTAGCTCCGTTCCAGGGTTCCACGAGGACGCCTAAATTCCAGAGAACACGGGCCACGAGCAGGGACTGTGTCTGAGGCCGGAGACGTGAGTGGGGTGGGGGCTTAAGAAGCCCCCACGTGGATCAGCGGCTCTGCCACTGACCACAGCTGAGGTCAACCTGAACTGCAGCCGAAACACAGGTCTCCCACATCACTCCCATCCATGTGTCTTGGTCCTTCTAACTCCCGTCCTGTCTTCCTCGAACCCCTGGGTAGTGACCGTTGCCTCTGCCCGCTCTCATTAGTGACACTGCCCCCTTCACGGCCAAGTTCAGCCACCTCAATGGGAAATGGCGTCCTGCGGGCTCTGGTCTGCAGGGCTCCAGTGCCATGTGGCCTGGCCAGCCTGCGACTTCCGTGCCAAGGTGACAAGGGGAGCCGGGGTCAGCACTGTCCCATCACCGGGGGCCCAGGCTGTTACCCAAGGCTGCAGCTGGGCTCTCTGAGGCCTGTGAGGTCAGGCTGCAAGTTCACAGAGCAGGCCACCCACACGGCACATCAGGGCTGCTGGACTGTCCCCAGGGTGAGAGCTGCGCTGGCCCTTGGCCCTGACTCGGAAGACTCCACCATATGGCTTCCTCTGGGAGCAAAGAGGAGGAAAGGAAGTGAGCCAGGGGAAGAGAGGGCCACGCTTCCCCCTGGTGCTGGGAACCCTCCTTGGGCAGGGGGCTGGGCGGGCTAGCCTTGTCGCCAGCAGGTGGAGGGGGGAAGAGGATGTCCGATAAAGGTAAAGAGTGACAGCTGATGTGACACACCCAAGGAGATCAGGTTCCCCCGTGAGATAGGTTTTCTCTCTCTCTGTCTCTCTCTCTCTCTCCCCAGATGTGTTCCCAGGATTTGATCTGAACTTCAAAAACCCTCGCGTCTGGGTCACTTCACACTTTTCCCATTAAAGACCCAAACTGGGTTTTCATGTTTGCAGAGAACTTTGACCAAAAGTGTAGGCAGCTGAGCAAAACAGGAAGAGCACCCTGCTGTCCCCTCCCCTCCAAGGCCAGGGAGGGCGACGAAGCAGGGGAACACAATCTTGGTTGCTCTGGCTCTCGGGGGTCCCCTGGAACTGTCCCTGCTCTGCTGACAGCTCCGGCCAGCAGGGGTGGGTGGGGAGCTGGGCGAGGCTCTGGCGAGGACAGAAGCTGGGAAGAGATCCTCGGGCACAGCTGCCGGGAACAGAGCGACCTTCCCAGGTTGCCCCGCATGCTGGGACTTGCTGGAAACCAGAGCCGGGCTGGGGAAGGGGGTGGACAGTGAACCAAAATTCAAAGGGGCAGCTGAAGGCTGGGGGTGGGGGGGGAGGTTTCAGTGAATCATATAAATTAGAGACAGAAAGGAAGTCAGGCCACCTTCATTTCCTCCCTCTCCTAATAGGAATTATCTCATTAGCCCCCGAGCTTCCTAGAGGCGAACTTGAAATGATTCCTGTAATGGGGATTTCAATCTGCAGCTCCCCTCCCCCAGGCCATCTCACTCCCAGGAGACCTAAGAAGGCTCTTAAAGGGACAGCACAAAAAGAGGTTCAGCTCAATGTGCACCCTCCCAAACCACAGAGGTACTGCCCTTCACCCCCTGTGTCCACTTGGAGGAATTTATTGTGAAGACACAGTCACAGATTTGGTGATAAACTGAATAACACACTTTCCTCCCATCTCCCTACTACCCCTGCAACAATAAAAGAGAGAGAGAGAGAGAGAGAGAGAGAGAGAGAGAAGAAAAAGACACAAGTTGGGATCCCTTCAAGCTACAAATGTTGCCTTCCATGGTAAAAGGGATTAACAGTTTTTGAGATGAGGAGATTATCCTGGTGAGCCTTAAATGCAAACACAAGCTTCTTAAAAGAAGACTATGGAAGGAGATTTGACTAGAGAGAGGAGAAAAAGCAAAGAAATCACAATAGCAGAGGTTATGGTGATGTGACTATAAGCCAAGGAATGTGGGCAGACCCTGGAGGCTGGGAATGACACTCCCCACAGCCTCCAAGAGAAGCCGGCCCTGATGACAACTTGATTTCAGCCCACAGTCATGTTCCAAAGTTCTTGCCTCCAGTTCTGTAAGAGAACTTTGTGTGGCAGGAAACTGCCACGTTTGTGGTGATTTGTTACAGCAGCTACAGGGAAACTAATACGGTAGGAGTAAAGTTCTTCCCACAAGGATTGTCTTCAGGAGGTTATCTCACAGCAAAAGAAAAATACATCAGAAACACCCAAGAACCGTTCAAAAATAACGACGACACAGTTTCACAATGGAATACTAAACCACCACAAAAATACGTGTAACTAAGGATGGGTGGTTCCCTGATATTTCTCTTGCTTTATTCATTGCCTAATGGTAGACAGCTGGCCATCCCGACACTGGACGTTTCCAGTTTGTTTGTAGAGTGATACGAGTTAAGGATGGCTGGCTCCCTTTCTGTGGGTAGACAAGCGAGCGGGGGCCTGGAACAATGAGAATTATTCTCTCACGGTTCTGGAGGCCAGAATGCCACAGTCGGCGTTGGTTATTCCGGCAGCTATGAGGGAGAATCTTCTATACCTTTCTCCCAGCTCCTCCAGGTCATTCTCAACATTCCCCGGCCGGCAGACACGGCTCTCCAACCTGGGCTCATACTCCTCCTCCTCTGTGTGTCTCTTCTCAGGACTGGTCATTGGGTTTAGGGCCTCCCCTAAGTCCAGGATGACCTTGTTTGGATATCCCTCACTAATAAGATCTGCAAAAATATTTTTGCCCAAGTAAGATGACACACTGAAGTCCTACCTGGACGTGAATTTGGGGGGAACACTACTCAACCATTGCAGGTGGCCCACAGCTCACTCTCAGTTCACGTGCTCGTGCTCTCTCTCTCTCTCTCTCTCTCTCTCTCCCCCACCTCTGCCCTCCCTCTCTCTCCCTCTCATTCAGTTGGAATCGCCAATGTTTAGAGTGGGTGGCCTCAGGAGACAGAAGATTCTCCATCACGAAGTGTTCA